ATGCTTTGAGCAATTACACTTCGAACTTGGCATTCGAAACAATGAGTTTTATTATTATTTTACATGTTCGTGTGGATTTCATTTAGCGGATTTTACTTATTGGCGAATATAACCAAAACCAGCGAATAATTAATGCGTTTACAGTACTGCGATCAGTTGAACTCATTTTAAAGGGCGATAATCTGAATACATCTGCAATATTATTCCCATATTTTGTTTATCAAGATTTGAAGATACACACGAATGTATAAATTGTTGCCTCATAAATTTGGAAGGACAAACTGGGGATAATTGGTATATAAACAAAATTAATAAATAAGTTTTCCGAAAATGTTAGTAAATTTACATAGTAGTCAGCTCCTAATAGCAGTAATAGTAACACTAATTGTCGGTTTGAAAGTAATCTACATATATATAGTGAAATACTATTGTATACCAGTCTATACTCATTGCTAATACATATATAGTGTTCAGAATCTTACCTCGTATTATTATTTTACTAATTGAAACAAAAATCCGTCACATGATCAGCGCTATAATTGTATACAATTGCATACATTAAAAAACGAGTTATTTATGAAAATCGTTCCTAAATTATTTCTATTCTATTCTATTCTATTCTATTCTATTCTATTCTATTCTATTCTATTCTATTCTATTCTATTCTATTCTATTCTATTCTATTCTATTCTATTCTGTACTAACGGTATTCAATCCACGCTGGTTATGTAGTGCCGCATACAAACATGTGCATCAAAAAAATAAATGCTCCGAGAATCACGTGACACTTTGTTTTTGTAGTTATTGTAAGGATATCGTAATGTATTAACATATTCCAAACATCCGTCTTGTAGACACGTGTTCGTATGTGAACTATGCAAACGTACACAAAGCGCCTTCTAGTATGCGGGTCTATCTACATGGAACTTCAGAAGTGGCCTGAGTTGTGTTTCTATGTAGGATTATCTATCTAGGCATAGCTATGTGTCTGCTCTACTCATTCTGTAAATCTTCGACATGGGTAGGTCAACACCAGTGTCCAGTAAGCTTATATGTTTTTACATGTATCTCTGTATAGTTACAATTTATATCTCTGTATAGTTCTTCTATATAGTTTTTTGTGACAGGGTTGTTCGAAAACAGGGCTTCTATACGGATCTGTCTAGTGACGTTGTCTTTACAGATCTAATAACAAATGCCAAGAACCCCAGTTGAGTGCAGAATATGTGAACAATGTAATAAAATTAAAATAGAAGATGAGCTACATTTCATAATATCATGCACAACAAAGATGTCTTCTGTTTGGGGAAAACACCCAAACTATATTATTAACTTCGGATGATAAAAAAATCTAAAATTTTAATGATCACCAACTGTTTAGCTATTCCAGTAGCCAAATGTATACAGTATAGCTTCAGAGAGAGAGAGAGAGAAAGAGAGAGAGATCTTACTGCTGTATTTTCTAGGTCAGTGTGGTGTCACTGAAATTATTAGTGTAATGTGTCTTTACATGTCTCTCTAACCGTATGTTTTCTGTATTAGTCTGTCTACTATTGTCTACAACATGTATA